ACAATTGATTTTTTGGGTCACTGAGGTACATTTTCTGGACTGTTCTTCAGACCATTGTGACTAGCAAGAGTCCATTCTCTTGAGAATAGTTTGAACTCTTAGGAAGCTATTGATATACCCAGAACAGGGGAGGAGGAATAAAGATATTGTAGGAATTCGGTTTGTTTGTTTACAGCTCTCCAAACTTAAGTTATTTTATTCTGTACAGAGGTCAGTCATTTATGTGTAAAATATGAAAAACTCTTTTCCTCTCCCTCTGCCTCATGATATAAAACAAAAACAAAAAAACAACAAAAACCGTCTCTATGTATATATATTTATATAGGAAATATATATAGAGTGAGAGGAGGGATTGTTGTTTTGGTTTGGTTTTTGTTTTTAGCCAAATGACAAATAACAGATTTTTTAATAACTGTGATCTGGTACTGGTAAGGTCTGAGTTAATTGCCTTTGGTAAAGTAGCCATGGTGACCAGCGTATTGCTTCTGATCCCATTAATCTTCTTGAGATTAACAGTAAATCCCAAAAGATCTTTTGCAGTGATTCAGAAATAAATCATCTTTTCACATGTATGTTATTTGGTGACAGCCACTTTCTTTAAATGTGTCTTTCTAACCAACAAAGAAATAAGACAGTCCCTAACGAGGTGATTAAAAACCCATCCCCCAAATAAGAAATTTTACAAAAATACGGCACATGACCAAATACTCAGAAATACCACATGAAAGGAGGATTTATTCAACAAATATGTGTCATATTCCTAGTAGACATACCAGAGAAAGGCTATTCACTCCCAGTTAGAAATTTACCTGTGTAGGACCTCAGCCTTGAGATATGAACTGTAGACAAAACTTTAGATTCTTTAATGAATAATTCCAATTATTATTTAGAATATAGGAATTAGGACGAGTTGAGCTGGATTGGGGAGGAGGAACAGCTGGCTACCTAAGCTGCGACTAATAATGTGTTCTATTTAAGAGATGTTTGCAACCACATTTTTCCGACAGCAGCCCCAGAGACTAAGTACAAAATATGGTCACCTCATTTTACAGATAAAGATACTGAGGCTAAAGGATGCAGAATGACTTCCCCACACTCACTTAGTATTAGAACTTTCTTTTAAATTAGCTGTTCAAACTGTTAGGATTCTGAATTAAAAGAGATGGGAATTGGATTACCATCCCAACATTCTTCTGACCTTAATTCCTATCACAGTCTAGACAAAATACGCACGACTCTGGGTCTTTCTCGACTCGTGGGTCTTATACTTCCTCCTCTCCAAGTTTTCCTGAGTTAAGGGTACAATGTGAACTCTTATTTCAACCTAGGTCTTCATACATAAAAGAAATTCCAAGAAAACAATAGCATTTTATAGAATCTAAGATGCATAATTTTTCATATCTTAACATCTCTGAAATTGAGATGTGTCGTATGGTTAATGGCTTATTATAATCGCTATGCAGCAGTACCAGAGATGGATTTCATTGCGTGTACATGCACTAACTTGGTCAAAGCCGCTTCTGTTGTCAGTACCTCAATTGAGTGGTGGAATTGCTGGTACGTGGGTAGAAAGTTATTGTGTATGCAGAAAGGGTTATAAATTTGATATTAGTGATGTGAATGCTCATTTTGGAGTAATACCATCATTTCATATTTTCTTGCAAAGCAACAAGCTAGTACTCTGCAGGACTTAAGAAGGGAGATGGGTACCCACAAGCAGATGGGTATGTTGACTTTTATTATTGAGATAGTCTTGGAATGAATATCTATCATGTACTAAGCAAAGCAAGTGAAAACATGAAAAATTGCTAAATCCCTTAGAACGCGTGAAAGAAATTGCAAAGCAACGAGAAGCTGATGTGACTGATGCGTGTGTCTAGCAGGACTGTTGTTAAAGCTTTGTATCATAGTTTCATTGGCTGCTTCTTTTTGTTCTTGGCCATTTGTAAAGTAATTTTTAACTTATAATTCATGCCATCTTAGATTCTATGATATGTGGTAATTCATAAACCAAGCAGCATGGTTCTGAGCCCCTCTAGTTGGTGACTGGACTTCGCCTAAAGCTATTCTGTTGATAGTGGACAGAAGTCCAAATTAGTCAAAACCAAACATTGAGCATTTGACCCCTGATTCCAAACATAAGATTAACCAACTCTGATGGTAAATTAATCTTTTGATCACCTCAGCACAAATGCTCCAGACCACAATTCTTATTTGATTAAAAAGAGAAATGGTCTCCAATGGCTCCTCAAGCTTTCAAGATAATGGTTCTCTATAATTTTCTGGTAATTACAGACAATATTCACTTTACATTATTTCCTTGGCAATTTAGGACATTGAGGACGTTACATTAAAATATTTCTTATGTAAGAACAAATGGGAGGGGGATGGTTCTGATATAATCATGTCTCTTTCTCTCTCTCTCTTGCTCTCTCTGTATATATACGTGTTCTTTTCATATATTTTTATAAATTGTTAGGGAACAGGGAATGTTGTGTATGCGTAAATGTATAATCTATCACAGTAGCCGATCACCCCGTGGGATATCAAGTCAGTAAAACTAAGATACTCAGACATGTTAAATGGCAGAAGCAAGCATTCCCTTAACTTGGTTAAAGAGTAAAATCGGCTATCTGAGTTGTTTCTTCTTGACCTTCACAAAGGCACACCCTGGGTTAAGTACATACAGTCAGCGGGGCAATGGATAAGTTTGCCTAAGTCAGAGGAGTGCTAAACTTCCCCGAGCAAGCGTTGTCCCCAGTAAACTCAGGAAGCCGCGTCATTTACATCCTAGCCCCAACCCCTTCCTGACACAACTATGACACTCTCTTGTGACTCCCATCTCACTAACTTTGTGCTGGTATTTGATTTCTAGCTATGTGCCAGGATAAGAACTTTCTCCACTAACATAGGGCATTTCCAGGCATAGGCCAGACCTTGGCTTATAAGACCTATAGGAGCAGAGGGATAATAAAAAAAAATTACCTAGAGAAATCCATTTAGATTTGACTTTCTTTAAAAGAACCTTTGGAATTTCTTCATAAAACTCTGTTAGCACTTGAGATTTAAAGTATATCTGTGTGTAGGATATTTTTTACACCTTAATTCACTATGAATTTGTGATTTTTCATATACCCCATATATAAGATGAGATGAGGGAAAATTACAGAGTTTTGAATGTCTGCCTTTATTTTCCCAGTTTATGGTTTCATTACAGGCTGAATCTCACTGTTGCTAGAGGAATACATTATTAACTTAGGTATCAGAAAGGTCACATCCTCAGATTTTTCTCATAAAATATGATGTGCCTCTGAGATGTTCACATGGAACCAAGAGTATATTTCGCCAGATATTTTAATTTCATTTGAAAACTTGTACTTGGTTCACAGGAATACTCTGGAATAAAACCCTAGGAGGCTATCTGCCTCTTAGCCCTCTCGTTTCTCCTCCAAAGGGGGAAACAGTGATCACGTCTCATTGAAAGCTCTCCTGCTGCAGTGTCAAGCTATTTGCTTTCATTCTTTCTTCAAGTTGAGAACAGCGCGACACTATTTTCTATTTAATAATCTTGAAGGACTTGACAGTTGCTAGTAAGAACGTTCCCAAGCTTCTCTTTTCGACACTTTACAAATCCCTTCCGTTAAACTTTCGTTATTTGTTTAACTTTTCAACGTTTCCCTATCTCCCTCCTGACCATCCACTAAGCGAAGTCTTTCCCACCTGTCTTAGATTGTTCTCAATAAGAGCATGGCCAATATACAGGGAGGATTAAGAACGTGGCTTCCTTTCAGCCTCCTGTCTGAGATGACAAGAAATGCATGAGAACTTCGCTTCTCAAACTCTTCATGAGTAGCGTGGACACACGTTTAAGAGCACAAGTTTGAGAGCTCTTCTACCCGGCTTTCATTTCCAGATCTGCCACTTTACTAGCTGCGGGATCTTGGGCAAATTATTTAACCTCTCTATGCCTCATTTTCCTCAACTGTAAATTGGGGATGATAATAATATCCCCCTTGATTCTAATAATATCCCCCTTGATTCTAAACATATATAAAGGGTTTAGGACAATATTTGTAAATATTAACTATTGTCATTATTATCTAAGTTTCAGAATCAGAAGTTGGTTATGTGCATCATGATCCATACTGGAAGCTTATTTGGAATTTTGGATATCCTGTTTATAGTAACTTAAACCATCAGCTCCTTATATTTTAATTTTGATACTAATCAACCTGGCATTTTTCTCTTAAAAACGTAAAGAAAGCATGGGGCCCGGCTGGTTGCGTAGTGGTTAAGTTCGTGCTCTGCTTTGGCAGCCCAAGGTTCGCAGGTTCAGATCCCGCACACGGAACCACACACCACTCATCAAGCCATGCTGTGGCAGCATCCCACATACAAAATAGAGGAAGAAGGGCTCAGGGCCAATCTTCCTCACCACAAAAAAAAAAAAATTAAAGCATGAGTATATTAGTTCTTATGATTTGTTTTAAAAAATTATCATTATCCCTAGATTTCCTAGGCCCCAATTGCCTTAGTTGTTTAAGTTGTTATCGTAACAAGGGAAATGATGTTTTTGTGAAGTGGGCTGTAGGGTGACCAACCATCTTGGGTTTCCTGGAACTGAGGGGTTTCTCTGGAGACGGGACTTTTATTGCTAAAACTGGGAACGTCTTGGGCAAATTGGAATGGTTGGCTACTCTAGCACTAAAGGTACTACATAAGGTGGAGGTAGACGGGGGAAAGGAACAAGTAGTAGTAATATTACTCTCACCAAATACAAAAGAATTCTTAATACAACACCATTGTTCTCTTGATTTTTGACTCATGCAATCCCTGATGAGTATCTGAAGGATAAACTTGCACTGAACTAATAAATTCTAAATGTCAGGCATTTGGGCTTCATTTTTCAGTATTACCATCATCTGTGGGATATATTTCTTCTTCATTTTATGTTGTTCTGCTTTCCTATAATCACTTTTTGCCTGTTCTTTTTCTTTTAGGTCAACTCAAATCAAAACGTACTCTTGGGATAATGCCCAGGTTATCCTGGTTGGAAACAAATGTGACATGGAAGATGAGCGGGTCATCTCAACCGAGAGAGGCCAACGTTTAGGAGAACAGCTTGGTAAGAAACAAATTAACAAATAACGAGAAAGAGCACTTGGTAATTATTTGTAACACTGTACAGAGTCCCTGCTAATTGCTAGGGTGGCTTTAATGAAAAGGTTGTCAGCCTGACAGTGGAAACCAACACGTCCTCCATAAGTAGTAAGTGGATTTCCTCCCACTTTCTGTGCCATCATTAGAATCCAAGCACAATTATAGAAGCCAAAGAGCCAGAATTTCATCTAGTATAAGATATTCAAATTCTTATTCCTTGAGAAACAGGATATGCCTTGCCTGCTATTTCTTTGGGGTTTTTTCTCCATACACAACATTTTGCATTGTGTAAGCACTTTATTATTTTGTGTGATTATTGTTGTTCTCAAGTTTCCATTGGAGGAGTGTAATAGCACAGAATAGATCACATTATAGATTCTCGTTCTAGGGACAACACTGACATGCCGTGCTACTATTACAAACCTCTTTGAAACGCAATCTCCTCATCTCTCAAGAATGAGTATCATAACCTGTGCCTACTTTACCAAGTCCTTATAGATAAGATCAATGAGATAAGAGATATGAGAGAGCTTTAGAAATGGCAAAGCCATTTCAAACACAAAAACATGCAGAGATTTAGTGCAAAGAGGGGAATCATGATTGATTTAATAATTCAAGGCATTTTTACTGAGCACCTGTCCTGTGCCCTGCACTGTGGCTGACATCATGGGGGATACAAAAAAGTGTGGTGCACAGTCCCTGGGCTCAAGTTGCTCTCAGTCGAGTGTGAGAGTAGAGATATACACAGGAAAGCAGAAATAACAAGACAACGAAAACTGGATAATTAAGAGCTGATGACTAGGAGGCAGATGCCAAGAGGAAAGCAACTGGGGGAGGGAGGCAGACGTGGGGAGAAAGGTGCCAGAAGGAGGTGTGGGAGTGGCGTGGGACGGGAGATAGGCAAATAACCATGCAGAGAAGACACCTGGAGAGAAAATGTGTGGAAATAAGCTGAACAGCCAGAAAGAGGTGAGTGATGAGAGGAGAGAGAGATCATATGCAAGATAAGGCTTGAAGGGTCCCTAAAGGAGAATAGACTCTGAAAACCACAAAGAGGAGAGGCAGCATTATGAACAAAGGGCACAGTGGAGCAAGGACATCAACAGGGCAGTGAGTAGAAAAGTTGGAACCTAGTGTAATGTTATGGAAGTGGAGAGCAGATTTGGGGAATAATTCCAGCCCTAGAGCAAAGGAGCTAGAATTCTATTCTTTTCTTTTTTCTTCTTCTTTTTTTTTTTTTTTTTTTTTTCTCTGTAGACAAAAAAGAACATTGAGGTATTCTTAGCAGGAGAGAGTCTGGTTTTCCAACCTTTTTGGCCAGAACCTACAGTAAGAAATGCATTCAATCTAGCAACCCAGTGCATACATACGTAAAGAGAAAGAAAGAATGAAACAAAAGTTTCACAAAACACATTTACCCTTACTAGATGAGATTCATTCTGATATTTTTCTAACCTATTCTTTCCTCTTCTTTTTTCTTTTAATACTTATCTCAGCCCACTAAATTGAGGTTAGGACCCAACAAGGAGCCTCAACCTACAATTTGAAAAACATTGCTATGAAGGGGATGCTTTGAGACAAATTTGCTGGGGAAGCAGAGACTCTATCACCTGGTAATCCCGTAAATAAACTATACACAGTTCAGTCTGAGAGCTTGAACATTTCCTCATGAGATTAATGAGCTTGTTAGACTAAAGGCTTTCACCTGATGACCACAAGAACCCTTCCACCAAACATTCTTGGAGCCACCCATGTGAAAGCCACACAGCTGATGTCTGGTCTTTCTGTGGCTGCTCTTAAGCCTTTATCATCTCATTCATAGGGCTTCTCCTTGTTCTATCAATTTAACAATGTTCTTCAAAAAAACTCTGAAAAACTTGGCAATCTTTCCTTAGTCTTCTTAGCACCTCAGGAAGTTAGGAATGAGAATAGTAGATCCCCAAGAGAAGAGAGAAAGGAAACCTGGGAGAGGGTTGATAGGGTGGCTTCTTGAGATCGTCTCTTCCTTCCCTGTATTTTCTTGACTAGTCAGGCATATGCCACCTGGGGGAAGAAACTGCTACACAGATGTAAGTTGTTTCTATATATAAACCTGAAAATTGTTTGATTCAAAGAAAAATAGATCAGAGCCAAGAACTGTTTAATGTCATTGGTACAAAGGAGCCAGGTAACTGGCTAAATTTTTTACCACTCTAATAAAGCACCCAGGTGTTGAGAAGATCAGGTTATGGAAGGAGACATTAGCGTGATGGGCATGCATCAAGAGGGCAGCTTTCCTTAGAACTCCACTAACTGGTGCAAACACAAACCCTTTTCATGCAGTGCATGGATGTAGGCAAGTTCCTGAAATTGTGAGGCAGAAATGTTTTATGTTACTGTGCAAGATCTTCCAATGGTTTCTAATTGATTTTTTGCTCTCTATTCAATAAAAACCCAGCAGTTGTCATAGCAACCAACACTTGTGCATTCTTGGAGAGTCATTTGCCTCCTTTAATGTGGCTTGTTCTTCTCATGACTACATACGCCTCTACAAATGATCATGAGAGATCATTTTTATGGGAAAAAAAATATCCTTACAATCTATTTTTAAAAATCTCCAGTAAAATTCTATTGTCCAGAATACCATCCCATATATAAGAGGTTGGGCACTGTTTTTTAAATGTCATTACCACATCTTGGCAGATGGCTGCAAATAACTGCCTTATCAATCTAGTTACAAAAATTCTCCATTGTGGATGGTTATATCCATATAACATTTGCTCATCCTAATGAAGGTACCTGATGGAATTGATTTGTAGCTGAGCTCTATAAAATTATTGTATCTAAGCTGCCTTTGCCAATCCAATTTAGTTCACCAAAATTTACTAGGTGTTTCCAATATGTCAGATATTAGGAATGCAATGACAATCCTACCTTCCAGGGATGAACATTATAGTGCCTGAGATAGACTGTATGGACAATGAGCATTTTTCTGGCCTTCCTTTTCCTGATAGTTTTGTTTCACTTGGCCGTGTTGGGCATGCCCTCCTTGTGGAACTCTGCCACCTTGGCTTCTATACCATGGTGCTCTCCGTTCTGCTCCTCCCTCTCTAGCCATGCTTTCTGTTTCTTTGGGAGATTCCTCCTCTTTCTGCCTCTTGCACTTTGGCTTTCCATCCTTAGCCTACCACTCTTCTCTCTCTACACCCTCCCTTAGATATTCCCATCCACTTCTAAGCTTTGAACTTTGGCTACAGACTAATGACAGCCAATTAGACAGCCAAATAGTGTCCTAGCCCTGACCCCTTGCTTGAGATTCAGGCTTCTCTACTCACCTGCCAGCTGTGCATGTTCAGTACTTCCGATTTAGGGTGGTCCTCTAATCATCTGCAGCTGAATCAGCTGGGATTCTTTTTCAAGTGCATATTTGTCATCTCCAACTCACACTTGCTTCATCAGAGTTTCTGAAATTGAAGCCCAGGAATCTACATTTCTAACAAACACTCTGCTGACTTTTATACAACACTAAATGTTTAGAACACTGGCTTAGATAGTGGCGAGTGTTTGGAGAGGATAGGGAATTGTCCCCGGAGCTGAACATCATCCCATATCTGGTATTATTCTTCCCATGTGTGTTTTTAACATTTACTATAGATGCGTGTACCTATAAGAATATATAGGAATGTTTTGGATTTTTATTTTATCTAGATACCAAATTTATAATGTGGCAATAATCTCTATATAAGTACAATCTCATAACTTGTTTTAAATGTAAAACTATTAAATATTAAATGAGAAAAAATTGGGAGAAATAATTAAAGATACAAGTTTTCCTAAAATAGAAGTACCTTAACTGAGAACAAGAACAAAGAAATGTATGGAGGGGAAGGGATTCGTATTGCACTGAAATTGTAGAATAAAAAATACTTGAACAGGCCGGCTCCGTGGCTTAGCAGTTGGGTGCGCGCGCTCCACTACTGGCGGCCCGGGTTCAGATCCCGGGTGCGCACCGACGCACTGCTTCTCTGGCCATGCTGAGGCCACGTCCCACATGCAGCAACTAGAAGGATGTGCAACTATGACATACAACTATCTACTGGGGCTTTGGGGGGGAAAAAAAAGGAGGAGGATTGGCAATAGATGTTAGCTCAGAGCCGGTCTTCCTCAGCAAAAAGAGAAGGATTAGCATGGATGTTAGCTCAGGGCTGATCTTCCTCACAAAAAAAAAAAAATTACTTGAACCTTTTTTATAAGCTCTGAAAGGGCAGAAAGTGCAGAAACTCTGAAGTTTCCCAAAAATGTGGTCAGAGAAACAAAGGCTGCAGATAAACTAAAATTGCTTCTGGAGAGACATGATTTTTTTTTTTTTATTGTGTTAACATTGGTTTATAACATTGTGTAAATTTCAGGTGTACATCATTATTCTTCTAGTTCTGCATAGATTACATCAGAGACATGATTTTTTTTTATAAATAATTTGTAAGGATCCAGTTTTGAGGTGTTTTTAATGTGCATTAATATGTCTTCCTAAAGCAAATAACAGATACTTATTCCCTATGACTCTCCATTCAAACAATTGTCATAATATCATGTGCATGTATTACTAAATTCCAGACCCTTCCTCTGCATCCTTCCCACTTGTCCAGCACAGAGACTGTATGAGGATTTCTGACAACTGTAAAACATTCTAACACTCTGCCATCTTTCCAAGCTGTGAAATTTGCCTCCCAGTCTTTTTCTCACTGAATGACTCTTTTGTTTGGATTATTTATCTGAAAAATATTTATTAAACACCTATAATGACATCAGAGAGTCGTAAATATGTATCTTTTCTCTTGTGGAGCTAAACATGTGGTCTGTGTATCAGAAATAAAGTCAAAGATCGTGAATACATAAACAGGGCTGGAAAGCATCAAAACAGGTGTAACTTGAAGGGTGATGGAGGGGCATGGCGTTCTATGGGTACATAGTTGCTTCTGTTTTAGG